CCTGGTGACTAGAAGGCATCTAATTTGTCCAAGTAATTTTTAACCTGTTCTTATCCCTATTTTAGCCTCTTCTGTTCCTACCTAATTTTCACTGGCATTCACTACGTTAGACGTCCGATCGCCACCAACCTTCTTGGTGAAAACTGAAACAAAGAAGTCATTAACCACCTCTGCCATTTCCACATTGTCTGTTATTTCCCACCCCCAACCCCCTTGAATAACAGGCCTACTCTGTCCTTGGTCTTCCTCTTGCTTCTAATGTATTTGTGGGATGCTTTCTTGTTACCCTTTATTTCTCTAGCTAGTTTGATCTCGTTTTGTGCCTTGGCTTTTCTAATTTTGTCCCTACATACTTGTGTTATTTGTTTCTATGGGGATTGCTCATACACAGTTGCTGTATAAATACCAGTTTGACTGAGTCAAATTTACTTCAGGATAAGACTGCAGCTTACCCACCTTTGTAAAGAATTGGGAGAGCTATAGGTAAACCCCCTCCCACCAATAAAACTGCAAGGTATTGTTACAACAGGTTAGTGAAAGCCCCTGTTATGCACAATAGCTGAAGCAGTATTCTCTTTCTAAGTATGAGAATGCCCGGTTTAGATAACAGGTCTGTATACAGCATTTGTCGGATATTTATGATGCTAATTTGTCATGCAAGGTTAATCTACAGCCCAGTGACAGGAAGCAAAGTTTTTGACGCCCTCCGTGACAACATTGGTGTCAGTACATTGTCATTTCTATATCATTTTAAGGGCTATGTGTGAAAATGGAATTGGTATCAACATGTTATAATGCAGTTAAAAATAAATTAAGTTGCTGTCCTGACTGTACCAGGTCTGTGGAAAAAATGAAGGGCTTCCTTCCTAAGGGCTGTTGAATTGGAAATCTGTCACAAGAAACAAGTTCACTTGAAAATTAAAGTGAATGTTGTGAATGGACTCAACATTAGAGAATGCTATACACTGTAACAATGTAATTCTAATTTTCTAAACTACTTGGGTTGTTTTTATAAAGAGCTGGGTGAAATAAACACCTGGAAACTGCCAGCTGTGGTCACAAACACATATATACACAAACATGTCAGTTGAAGCCAATTCATCCACAACAGGGTACAAAATTCTGTAATTGCAACACAACAGCTTGCACCATGTTTTTATTGTTTTGGTACAATATGATTTGCACCACTCATTCGACAACCTGGAGAAGAAAGAGTACCAACAGTAACAGACCACATTTCTTCTTATAGTTCCATAATGCTAAGATTATTTCCACAAATATCCAGTAGTACAGTGAGTTTTGGCTTTGTGTCTAAAGAATTCCTAAATTTCTAGGTAAAAAGGCATCTTGAAATTAAGAATAGCAACAAAATAAAACATGTACGTGTTCAAATAAGTGGGGGAAAAGGGTGGAGGATTGAAGGGAGGCCAGCGAGCTTATATTGCTTGTGTTATACTCTTAAAAGCCCATGAGATTATGCTTTGATTTGAAATGCCCCCAAACAAATTAACATCTGAAACCCACACTGTATTCAGCTCTTGTTCTTTGAGTTAAAATTCCTTAGGCCAGCAAGATACCACAACAAGTGAGATATTATCAGGTTAAATTATTTTACCTTGAATCACACATGAATAATTCAAACCTTTCACATTATCATTCATCCACATAACCTCAGTTGTCATTCCTCAAAGGTTACATTTTCCATCTCTGGCCAATTGTACTTGACCCTGACCTGGGCCCCCCACACCCTTGTATGTTAATGGTCACTGAATTAATAGGGGAACACCTTGATGTTTCCTGCTTTCATATCCAGCTTTTTCCAGAGCTGGGAACTATTTCTTCACCAATGCATTGCAAAGCAGCAAACCAGTGGCAGCTCCAGCTCTTGTGAGAAATAAAATCCATTTAAAAATATGAGCTAGGTCCTTTAATCCTTGTATGGTGCTACAATAGACCCCCAAAATTCTCTTGATTAGAGAGTTTCAGCCTTCCATCATTTTAGTTTTGAGGATCCTGGCACATCTGAGACTGCAGACTTGCTTTCCTTACAAAAAGAACAGGAGTACTTGTGGCACCTTAGAGACTAACAAATTTATTAGAGCATAAGCTTTCGTGGACTACAGCCCACTTCTTCACAGACTAACACGGCTGCTACTCTGAAACCTGTCATTATGCAAGGCACTGCATTTAGCCGTATGGAGTGGAAATCCATCAACCTCATGAAAAAACTCGTACTTATGCATCCGAAGAAGTGGGCTGTAGTCCACGAAACCTTATGCTCTAATAAATTTGTTAGGCTCTAAGGTGCCACAAGTACTCCTGTTCTTTTTGTAAGGAAAGCAAGTCTGCAGTCTCAGATGTGCCAGGATCCTCAAAACTAAAATGATGGAAGGCTGAAACTCTCTAATCAAGAGAATTTTGGGGGTCTATTGTAGCACCATACAGGTATTAAAGGACTTAGCTAATATTTTTAAATGGATTTTATTTCTCACAAGAGCGGGACCTGCCACTGGTTTGCTGCTTTGCAATGCATTGGTGAAGAAATAGTTCCCAGCTCTGGAAAAAGCTGGATATGAAAGCA